GATGATGATGATGATGATGATGATGATGATGATGATGATGTTAAATCGAATGATACTGATATTGATAACGGAGGCCAATCAGATTTTGCACGAAACTCACAGACGTGTCATCCGCCAGTGGTGCCATAAATCGAATAAAATGGAAATCAAGACTAGTAGCAGATAGACAATGATCAGTGTGGACAGAAAAAATGATTCAACCTAATTAGGAAACGAGCATCACAGCGACAGGCAAAAAAGACACTGTCCTATGGATCAGTCGTCTGGGAGAAGCATTGAAATATTTGTCAATCAACTATGCGTTAGTCACCACTTGCCTCGTCTTTTTGGTCCCCTTTGAGTCGATGGATTCTGGAAAGTTTGGTATTATGCACAATTTGAATCGTATCCACGGTCGATCATATTTTGTTGTCCGAGTAACCTGTTCTTACACAATTTATCATCCCAAGTAATCCGCACATTTTAGTCAATCAAGCGGCCTTTCGAGGAGCATCATGCTGAAGTTCATTGTAGATTAGAAATTATTCATGGTGCATATTTATCAGTGCAATCGGGTTTCATGCTTCGTATCCGTTGCAGAGGAGGCTTCTGTATTACCCTTCTACCCACCAGCCTACGAACCGAGAACAGCTGTCCTGTGCAATTTATCGAACACTATGTCGTTTTGTTTACAAGTAAAACGTATTGATGAACATTCGGAGATCGAGAGAATTTCCAATGAACGAGACAAGCGGAAGAACGGTGTATCACAGGTCCACGTTCTGCCAATTCATCCCCTGTTAACCAACTGGAATACTCAGATCAAACGTTGGTAACGGGCGACAGTTGATATATCTATATATCTATCCATATACATTTCTGACTGTCAATTCTCCTAACCGGCATCAAAACACACAAACAAACAAAAAGACAGAGACCAAATGCGAGATGAATGTGTTCATTTTCCTTTGTACGGTTTTCGAGNTTTTCGAGTCCCAATGTCTACCGGTTTCCACTTGCACATTTACGACTTCGTTTCTGATAAAAAAAGAAATATCTTCGGGAAAAAATTTAAAACTAACAGTAATTCAAATGTAAATCATAGTCCAGGTTGACAACATGTCCCGCATGGCACAGTTTGATTGTGGTTGCCTATGGACCAACGCACGAGGCCAGGTATTTTTCGTCTGTGTGTGCGTGTGAATCAAGGTTGACCTTGTCAGAACCGTTGTGAGCAAGTCTCGCGAAACGCATTACATAAAGGTTTATCCGTTCCGAATCCCAGGAGAAGGAGAGAAAAAGATAAACATACTGATCCCCAATTTGTATTGTAATGCAGGTATCATTGTAGGATAGCGGATTGAAAAATGGAAGCACGAACTAAAAGGATGAATTCATCGGTGCTTCGACCTGAGTTTGGTCAGCTATTCGCATATAGTCAGTTCAGTGTGGACTTATATCTACAATGATTACTGGACCAAACATATGCATTTTTTCAGCTGACAACGTGAAAAACGCTTTTCTAAATAGATGCCGAAAAAGTTGAAGCACTCACTTCGCGGATACCGTTATACCGAAGCCAGCGATTTCCTTCAGGAACCAAAACCGTAGTCCTCAACTAAATTCTATCAAGACTAGGCCGTTTTGGTTTCTGTACTCTGAGGTTTTGAGTTTGATAGATAAGTAGTCATCGAATCGAAACCATCAGACTGAGAGGACTAAAAGCCTGTAAAATACTACAATGTTAGAAGATTTTGAAAGGATTTCACACGATGTTCTAAACCCCGCTGGAACGCACCTCGGAGTACACATGGCAGGACAAATATTTGACACTTCATTTATCGAAACGAATGAGCCAACGTGACCTCCGTCGAATAGCATGGCAACGGGCAATTTCAGTCACTTGGTTTTAGTCGACCCAGTTGGTTGGTCTACGGTTAAAAGTGTGTAGTCAAAACGGTGTTTGTTTAATTAAATCTGAGGGAAAAACGTGTCATAGGCTACCTACCTGGTGAACTCTTCTTCCAACAGGTTCGGATGCGGAGTATAGAATTTCACACCGAAACGGAAAATCAAATCTTTCCCGGGACTCAGTTGTCGCACAATCGGTTTTTCATGATCAAGCCAACACTGTGTTCGGGCGGTGAGGGTGAGGTGGGGTAGAGAGGTTGGAGCGGAGAGACGAGAACACACAAAACGCGAAGTGAGCTTGAGTAACTGTTTGTACCCCCCAAATCCACTCACAAATTTGAACAAACCNAGTGTCGTCTTTCGAGTGACACAATTCCGAGAACAACTTGCGGATTTGTATTCAGTTTTGCCACTTTACCGTTTTGAAGTAAACGGGTACTTTTTGTGTATTATATTGTAGATGGTTAAACTATATTATTTTCTATTCACTCTAGATGGCAGTTCTCTTTTAGGGAAATTTTCAAAACAAAACGTAACAAAGGATAGAATCGGTTTGAAGGCTTGCACACAAACAAACAAAAAAACCAGATTGACGATTGTTGGTTTGAATGAAACGTTTTGGTACACTTCCGTAATCAATGGCATAGAAACACGTTTCGGAACACGTTTCTTGATGTCGGGGGCGGTGATCATATTCGAAATGTGAAACGATTGTCTATCCCGTTCTATCGCAGAATATGAGTCCCGTTTGAAATCGTAGATTCAAACTATCTTCAAAAGAAATTCAAACACGCAGGGGGGAGGGGAAGTGTAGACGCTGGAACAGAAACACAGTGAAGTAAACTACGTAATATTACGCAAACACGCACACCAGTTATTTTTTCGTGTCTAAAAATCTCGTGGATAGTATCTGACAGGCGTTTGTTCCCAATTTTCGACAGGTTTTAAATCAAATAAGCAAAACTGAGTGATCCTATGTTAAGCAAACCAAAAAGGGAGAAATAGGGATATTACAAAAGAACGAACGAACAGAGTGAAAATTCTGGAATTACCCGAAATTGTTCCACATATGGATTGTGTTCGTGTCTAGACAAAACGAAACCAATTTTGGGGTTTCATCGAGAGTCAACGTGAATCAAAGGAAACAGAACGACCGAAAGACAGAACAACAAAAGCTATACTGGGTTGGAAGGAATAGTCACTTTCTGAACACGGTTTTCTCTCCCTCTTGATCTCACTCTGATTTGCTAAGTGTCAATTGGTTGCATGTCCTTGACCGAATTCCTGATCAACATACTTATACTTTGGCTCACATACTGTCTCTCAAGTGACATAAAGTGCAAAAGCGCGAGTGTCCGGACTAAGAGGGTGGGTAGGTGGATTTTCCCTGATGCTACTAAGACGTTAATCCGTTTACGACCGTCCCTCATTCGGCGCGGTAAGGTCAACACATTTGACGAGGAAAGGGTTTCAATACGACGTGCTGAGTCGGATCTCGGTGATCTGCTCGGTTTGTCGCAAACTAGAAAAAAATAATTGCTTCCTTTGCCGTGGTGAGATTTAGTCATTTTTGACCGAATGACTGCGGTAGTACTTTTATTTTGGAGCACCGTCAGGCATACCGTTAGATTGGATTGCATCAAGGCAGTCAGCTAGTTCACCAGGAAAAAGATGGATCTGCTAATTTGAGCAGTGTAAATACTGACCACTCCATGTTGCTTTTCTGCGGATGGAACGCTCTAATGTGCCATCTAGGCGCCTCGTAATTCTTATATACAAAAATGCATAAAAATCGTTGGTCTCTTCTCCATGAGAGATACAGAAAGATGTGGATTAACAGAGTTAAGTTGTTTCAAAAGAGATTAAAAATGTTCACACTTCGTAAGAATAAAAATGTCATCCATATAACGTCTGTACAAGTTGGACTGGGAGATATTATTGGCAAAATCTTTTCAATCGTTCATTAAAATACATCAGCTAGAAATGAGCCCAATAGATTTTCAAAATGCTTAAAGAAATTCTCAATGTCCTCACAGCGGATGTATTTGATAGATACAGTAATATATGAAGTTGAAATATTGGGCACCTTTATCCAATTCATAAGAACAGAGAGAAAACAAATAACGCGAGATGTTAACATTTCTTTTGATCGCCTCATTCGCTACACAACGAAAAACAATCTGGTATTTACACCAAGTTTTGATAACTAAAATGGTCAACGGGTAGAGGATGGTGGAATTAGTTCCACGGCAGTTTGACTGATTGCGTCCGAAACGTTTGTGCACACAAGATTGGGGGGGGGTTAGGTAACTGGATTAGCATCGCACGTTGTTCATTATATGATC